ATGTGTTATTCTGACAGAGGTTTCCACAAAGATTTTTTGCTAAGAACGCAGTTTTTATTTACCGCAAGATGTTTTCAAAAGATAAAGGCTGTTTTAGCTTAGTCGCCCATGACGCCAAAAAGGGGGTTTAACGATAGCGCATTAAGCGCGGTGGGCCGATACAAGTTTTGGGGGTTTTAGGCAACTGCAGATTACAGGGGAACAGTGGGAAAGCATCGACCATGACCATTCAAAAAAATATAAAAATTCAGATGCTGGTTATAATTTTGCATATGTTCTAAGTATATTTATTTTTCCTATTTACTCGAATTCCTATTTTCGTCCTCTTCTGTTACCTTTTTTTTTTCTTTTCTTTTTCCGTTCATTTAATCTTTCCTATTAGAGCTTTGGATTCGCATTCACCTCCAGGTTTACTGGAGAAGAGAACATTCGGAAGGCCTAATAGCTACTTTTTCCTACCTCCGTTAACCAGCCCTGATCATCGCCGTAATTCATCAATCCTAAATCTACGTTTCTGCGCCGGTGGCAGGTTATTATTCAAATTTTTGATCTATTTACAATTCAGACAGGTGTTGACTTTCATTCGCTTCACAGCACGAAATTTCGGCTCAATGTCAGGCAATACAAAGTCACGATTAATTTCTCAGCTCGGGAGCGATACTAAATGTTTACACGGAAATTAATATTATGCGAGGCAAAGAAGTGCACACAACACTAGTACTGAATATTAAAGCTACATTATAGTGCGTGGAAAGGTTTTATCAGAGAAGATGTCTTCCTCAAATTGGTGTGTTATGCGGCAAACAGTAAAAACCTTAGTTTATTTGCAGCACTTCTTTGTCTTACCGACCCCAGAAAAATACGATTATTACATTATGCCTATGATTAATTTTCTTTTATCACTTTTGCTGCGACAATTTTTACATATGAAATCCAAATAAACGAAGTATGAAAAGGCGAGGAAACGACTTGTAATGATCCTTTGAAAAGGCACTCCAAAGTCTAGGAAATCTTCGTGTATTGGTCATCTATTTTCCATTAACTTCCTTTCTTTTCATGAAGTCCAGAGTGTATAGGTAAATTCGGAAGGAATACATAAATAAAATATTGATCAGTTTTTATTGCTCCACGGAACGGTTTATTAGCTATTCTGTGAAAAGTCTACACTGCTGAAATTAAACATTTGAAAGAAAGCCAATCAAAGAGAGAATGTAGAAGTTGTTGATGCGCAGTCTTCATTAAAATTGAGTACAAAGCGGGAAAAGAGAAGTAAGTACATCTCCACCTGCTTGTTTCCCATATTACCGAGAACAATGCTGGATCTTGAGAGTCGTAGCTAATTTGTTATCACTAATGTGACGACTTTGTCGGTTTCCCTCCGCATATTAAAAGATCACGGCCAATCATCCCGGAAATTCACGACGTAGTCTTTAGTAGATTACCCAATAAGTTTGTTCAGGAAATTATTTTTTCTCTCTGATAACCACCACAACTTTAACCCCTTGAACGCTTGATGAATGTAAAATCGGATCAACGAGCGCAGTTTGTGCAAAGGCAAACACATTATTGACAGCAACAAAATGGTAAAATAGGCCGGTTGCCCACACTCTTTTGCTACTGTTTGTTTTAAGCTTACGTTATGAGGGTGATATTTCCTTAAAATATCTTGCTCTTATCAGCATGCGTTCTGTTCACCCGAGAAAGCTCCTAAAGATGGCAGATTGCCTGATTGCAACGGAAAAAGAACATTCTGGGAAATGAAATGATGTTAACAAATGATATCACCGAATAGAGATCAGAAGAGGCATCGTGGATCACGACACGCTCAAGATTAAATCTTTGTCAGACGTCAAGAGGAAACAATTAATCAGTGCGTAACAACGATATACGGTTTACCAGAGGTATAAAATAAGCCTCGAATAAGGCAAACATCAAAAATCACGTACTCGAAGGGATCGTCGGAATCGGCATCATCGTAGTCAACAAACGTTTCGTCAGGCAAGGACAATGATGAAGGTTTCCGTTGGCTCGTCAATTCTTGTTCTGTTGTTTACCTCCCATTTAGCCTTTCTGCAGGCGCTGCAGAATTCAAGTGAAGTAAGCGTGTCCTCTGTGACTGATTCCCAACTGCTACTCAACGCAACAACTGTAACTCCAACGGCAGTTCTGCAAGCTCGAGAGGACGATTTTCCTCCCACTTGTCCTCTGAAGTTTTCCTGTCGCAAAGGATGCGATAACGAGACATTTAAAGGGGATGATCTTGATGGTGATGCTGCACATTGCCACTGTGATCAAGACTGTCTGACGTTTCAGGATTGTTGCGCAGACTTTACGAATTTGTGCGAGCCAAAGCCTGTGAATCCAGGGATTCCACTCGGCAGGAATTACAATTATTCCTGTGTGAAATTATCCACTGAGTTTGGTCAGAAAAAAGGCATATACATGATCACAACTTGTGCAGCTAACTGGAATGGAAATGAGGATGTGCGCAGCAAATGTCTGGCAGGGTTAAAGAGTTCGAATCGATCATTTACCTCCAAAAACATCGTGGAAGATATTCCAGTGGCTAGTCTCATTCGAAACGACGGTACGCAATACAGAAATATTTACTGTGGCATTTGTAACAATGAGCCTGCCATTCTTCTACCCTCTTGGCAGTTAAAGTTTCGTTGTAACATCAGAGCTCCTCCCTCATACTACAGCGACGAGGAGAAATTAAACTTTTTTCTAAAGTACTGCCCCACTAGGATCCTAAGACCTAACAAATATTTTAAAATACGAACTTGTTTACCAATGATATCTACATGCTCACTCGCCAATGAGCATCAAGACGGATGCATAAACGGCAAAAGTGGACTGGTTTTTTCGCAAACACAGAGAAAGAACTACAAAAACATTCATTGTCTGCTTTGCAATGGTATTTCATTGAACACTTCTCAGTGTGGTCCTGAAGAAAAAGGAGATTTTTTCAAGCCCAAATCATTTGAAATTATCATGGACTTCAACCAGAAAGAGAACCAAGATCAAAGAACACGAGAGCCGAAGCTTAGTTCGATTACGGCAACTTGTCCAACCAACAAAGTGTTCGATCCGCACTTGGAGACATGCGAAACAGGTTCTATTGTGAATCCTTCCAAACTGTTCCAGGCAGTTCGCGATAGCTACCGTGTAAAACTCTGGATGCATCCTTCAGACGAGAGCGAATGGGCTGTGAGTGCAGAAGAATTTAAACACGCCATTTGTTCGAGTTTTGCTCTAGATCCTTCGCAAATTGATGTCATATCTATTGCAAAAGAAGACAGATCCACCGCCGTTAATTTCAATCTGTACTCCGGGAGTTTGAAAACTGCTAAAAACAATGTATCTTACGAGACTTTGAATGTATCTGTCATCCTAAACTTTAACAAATCCTTCCCAATTGTAATTGAAAACAAGACCTGGATAGTCCTTAGGATCACTCATCGGCAGTTATCTTGTGCACAGCCAGAAGAATTTGCTCCAGAAGAATTCGTTCTACTTGCAACTGGGCAGGCTTTAGTAAACGGTATTGGAAATAAAACTGCAGAATTGCTTCCCTCAAACAAGTTTTTCATCAAACACAATAACAGTAGCAACGATTCCTTGGTTGTGTGCAGATCTAAATTTACTGTTTTGTGTCCATTCAAGCTGCTGCTGGTTAGTAGCTCGGAGTACAGGATTGTAGCTAACGATAGTTTGCTGCATACCAGCACAGGCAGAAAATACACAAAGGAAGAATATAACGTGGTTAATGAACTTGGAAAGGCTTGGATTTGCACTAACTATACAGCAATTCCTAACACTACAGCAATTCCTCACCCTGAGACGAAAACTGCTTTGGAAAGCACTTTCCTGCGATATTTTACCATAGTTGGATTTTCCCTATCAATTTGTGCGCTTGTCTTAACTTTGCTGATACACTGTATCTTTAATGAGCTTCGAGGAACACTTCCAGGTAAAAACCTGATGAGTTTATGCCTGGCCCTCCTCCTGGCGCAGTTCATTTGGCTCTTTGGTTCTGGAGACACCGACAAGCCAACTTTTTGTAGTGTCATAGCAGCCATTATTCACTACCTTATTCTGGTGTCTTTTGCGTGCACTGCCGTTATAGCCTTTGACACTCGCCGAACCTTCTCCAGTCAGATTTCCAAAGCTCCTAGCCGTTCTCTTGGACAGAGTCGGAATCTGCGATTCCTTTCCTACAGTTGCTCGGCATGGGGTGTTCCACTGCTTTTTGTCATCGGCTGTGTCCTGCTTGATCAGTTTCACGTTGTTTTCATCGGTTATGGTAACCAAGACGCCTGCTGGCTAGTCAACAGCAATGCCAAGATCGTCGCCTTTGCCACACCGATAGCTTGTGTCCTTCTGTACAACGTTATAGCCTTTTCTCATACCGTGTGGGCCATCAACAATGCAAGAACGCAGACACGCAGGGTAAAATCATCCCGACAGGACCAACGAGCCGTCCTAAAAATCTACGTGCGCCTGATTTCCCTGATGGGCTTTACTTGGTTTTTCAGTTTCAGTGCGGAGCTCATTCACAAAGCGCTTGTCTACCCTTTCGTAGTCCTCACGACTCTTCAAGGAGTATACGTATTCGTGGCTTTCATCTGTAAGACCCGAGTGCTTAAGCTGATGAAGGAGCGGTTTTCAAGGTCCAGGAAAGATGCGCTAGCGTCCACACAACACACTACAAGCACGGAGTGCAGGAGCTTACCTCAGTACTCGCCATACCGATCACAAAGAGAGACACATATGTAAAGGTGCAGACTACAAAGCACAACTGATTAAATCTCGATTTGTTATCATTATTTTTATTTATTAATTTATCTATTTATTTTCATGGCTGTCGATTGCTGATAAACAGTAGGTCTGAACATAAAAAGGGACACTTTTTCGCAGAAACTGAAGGTTGTTTTAAATGTTTTCGACATTTTGTTGCATTATTAATATTTAGAGTCCATAAGATCGAGACGATAACACATGTAGAAATTGCTTTTAGACAACTGAACGACTAGATAAACATTTCCAGTTTGCTGAGATGGACTTAGACTATTTTATTAAGGGGTTTTAGGCTTACATCGACAACAGAAAGGTAACGTATTAGTTTGTGTGTAGAGAAAATTTGTGCGCTTCTTGTTGCCTTTAAGAACCGCAACGGAATTGTTAAGTTATCCGAGATAATATACTAAAAGTACCGTGATTTGATATTAATGCCGATCCAGTCAAGTAATTCTTGACAATATATTACATTTCCCTTACGAACGTTTAATAGATTGTCCTCAAATGCAATTTCGACACTTCACAATCCTTGATTGCGCAAACGCTGTGCTCCGATGCGCACTAGCACGTCCATGTTCTCACATGGCCATGTCTCCATGGCTTCCGCACTTTTAAACATTTCCAATATAATTTGTCTAGTACCTCAGCTAAAGATCATGCCTCATAAATCTCTGCAATATTACTGGTACGAAAATTCAGTTTGTACGTGTAGAAAATGGTTTCCATCAGTATTTCTTCATGAATGGGCCAAAATATCATACTCCTCAAAAATTAAAAATCCTATAACATTTTATCCTTCTGGCGAGTTGAGGTCGACATTATTCGCGAAATTATGCGTAGCAAGTATGCTCAATAAAATGTAAAAATCTACCGTTAATCTGAGCTTAGCTTCTGTAGATTAGATCTTCAATACTTACCGTCAGGAGAAGAAGCAGTTACTAATAACTGACTCGCTTGGAAATTCCAAGTTTAAAAAAAAAAAGCATTCATCACATACACTAGTCTGACTGAGAAATTTTAAAGAAATAGTTAAACGGCTTAATGAGAGCCGGATTCATCCGGAAATCAAAATATGGCGTTGGATTATTCACATCTGGGATTCCTTATACGAATGTAAAAATGAAAGCGAACTTTCAGACGATGTGCTTTCAACCTATCAAGGAATAACGTTTTGTCTTCCAGTAGAATCATTATGTTCTCAGTTGTGTGAGATCATATATGATTTTGCCTTTTTGACGGGAGCTCAATGTAAATAGGCCTCTCAATAATATACACGTAACGTTACCTTGCCTCTTGCCTAACATATTTAACAAACGTTTTAAGCAAGCAACGAGCAATATCTTCAGGGAACGGAATTAGAACTAAATTAGATTCTTACTACATACTAAACTAAAACTGAGCATTAAGAAAAATGTACAAAATGGAGACTTGGAGATTTCAGCTGTCGCTAATATTCAAGACCCTAATTGTCAGTCAGGGTTTAAATGGAATTGTATAGTTGTGATTTCTTCTTATTTGATTCAATAGTTTCGTATGTGACCCCATCCCGACACATTTCTTAATTGACCAATGTAGTTCTTAATGCATGAAAGTGTGATTTGCATATATGGTAAAGACTGATATGTAGTTTCACCGAAATGTCATTGTAAGATTTTTTTCACTAGCAAAAAATCACATCTTACGTTTGTATTTAGTATGTCATTTCCATGTAAACATTGCCACCACCTGTAAATGTAGACAATTATGAATATATTTCTTGTATATATAGCCTAAACAGTAAAGTATAGAGCAAATCAATCCATCTATTTTCATTTCACTAGGTTTTCTTTGAAAGCTGGAAGCCTCTCTGCCTTCAAGCTCAATGATCAGCAGGACTCGCAAGAGACACAAACCTAAGCGAACGCTCGCTGATGAAAAATAAGAGAAAAAGGGGTGACATGTTCCCGTTGACATATTCCCCCTCAACGTATCCCCCTTCTAAGGTCCTTTTCATCGCTAAATAAAGCTACATAATCCTCCAATCATGTTCCCCACAACAAATCACCCCCTCCTCCCTCCTCTCCCCGGCTAGCCTGTAAACAACAAGAAAATCCTAAACTACAAACAGCTTTCGTAAAGTGGATATCTCTCCAAGATCATGAAACTGAAAGAGAAAGAAAAAAGCGCGAACAGAAGCAGTGCCGTGAAAGTAGTAAAGGTATTAATCCCCCAGGAAGAATTCGTCTCGAAACAGATATTTTCATGATCACTGTTGCGATTAATAACCCCTGAAAATTTATATTTCTTTTCAGAAAACCTTCGACATAACACTACCTATTTTCTAAATACGTGCACAATTGGTATTTTGAGCTATTCTTGCTGAGATAACTCTTGGGGCAGCTACCATCAGGATATTGATTTATTTATTGATTTATCTTTTTTAATTGACTTGTAGCGATAAAATTATAAATTCGGCAAGTTCTGCTTCGTTTGACAACTCTAAGGGTTCGATATTAATTGTCACTCAATCGTTTCAGTTTATACAGACATGCTTAAAACTTAAAGGCGTTTTCCTTAGTTCCCCGAATTTTCCCCGTAAAATTGAAGATATATTCGAAAGAAAAACGGCTCTGGTCATCACTTCCCTTTTTGACACAATCGACTTCCGCCCCAATTCCAAGAATCCGAAGGCTATTGGTAATAACGTTAAAAACAATTCCCAGAAATGTTGTGGCACTTTATATAATTAGCTCCGATTGTTTGGTAGTAAAACGGAAAAACCTAGTGGAAGACCTAAACAAACATTAGCAATCCTAGTTTATTTGGTATTCGCTGCAATATGTAAATTGATTGATGCATAGCAGCATAATATACAATTTGGGGAATACGCCGAGCAACGAAATTTACTTCCGCTTTCCGGTCGTTTTCTCGAAATTTCCAAGAATCCCCCTCTAGGTGACATCGACGTATATAAAGAGGTTCGTGGAATTCANGGGGAATACGCCGAGCAACGAAATTTACTTCCGCTTTCCGGTCGTTTTCTCGAAATTTCCAAGAATCCCCCTCTAGGTGACATCGACGTATATAAAGAGGTTCGTGGAATTCATTCAGCATTTAGTGGAAAACACTTCAAGTGATCGTCAGGGGTTTTGTTCCACATCAACAGCTAAAAGGACGTATGTGGTGATCTGAGTTTAAATTGATTGAATTGAAGAACATTTTGTCAAGAATGTAGGTTTCAAAACGAATTTCGCGTGACGATGAAGTGCCCCGATTGTGGGAACGACGAACTCCAAGAGCATCATCGCTTTTGCTCTAATTGTGGTTGCAAACTTTCTGGTCCCCAATCGCCAAGGGAAACAGTATCAGAGTCGACAAACAGCTCCCAGAAGGCGCAATCTGTCGAGGCTTCTGATGTTGCAGGTTAGTTAAAGAATTGTATATTAATACACTACATATCACCGAATTATAACCTGACCGTCTGTTCAAATTAAAGGTTTTTGGAAATTATGCTAATCAATTGCGAGACTGAATTGGTGGGTTGTTATACGTAACAAGTAGAATTTATAGAACTTATTCAGTATCAAAGAAGCTGTGTGAATTGAGATTTCTAGAATTTCAGTTCGTAGACAATCGTTTAGCCGAACGCAGATAATTTTCAAACTGCCACTGTTTACTTCCTTCTTCAGTGATACCTTCGCTTCACAGCAAATCGCTGCATATGTTCAGGCTAGTTTTTGAAGTGATTAGCTTTCTTATATTTATGATTAGGGCTACGAACAAGTGCGGCAAACAGAACCAAGTAGAAACTAAAACCGAAATCGGTAGATCAAGTTAAGAAGTGCTTTAGGAGCACTTTGTTCAGGACCTTGAATACACTGTAACTGGAGACAACACAAAAATCAATTTTATTTCAGTGTAAATTAACTCCGGCTGTATTTCGTTTACAAGTCGTCATACTCAATCGAGTAACAAGAATCACATTTTTGGCCACTGACCATGGCCAAAGCCAGACGGGCTTGCAGTTTTCACTTATACAAACGAACGTTCAACAGCAATTAATTCGCCTTCAGGATCTTTTATTTTTTCGACTTAAAAGAACTTGCATGGCCGGCATGTCGGACTGACAAATTTATTAGTGTAGAAACCAATCAATGCTTCGTAAGAAGAGTCGTGATATTTTGGAAGCATGACGCTATGCAAATGACAATGATAAGAAACCGAAAAACTATGGTTGGCCATTCGGTTCAAAATTACAACAGGGTATACGCGGGTTTTTCTGCCGCGTATACTTGTTTACATACGTTACGTATGGGCTTTAAGGCCATATATACGACCATTTAGATCGCGTATATACGCATTTTTAAATGGCCACATATTTGCGTAAACTCAAGCGCGGAGATATGCGAAATAAATGCCTAAATATACGTTTCTACAAGGACCCATAGATACGCGAGCTAAAATGAGCGTATACGCGAGTCTCGTAAATTATGTTGTATATGCCTGCACGAAATGTGCCTTTTGGGAGAATGGCTCTTCGTTTATGATAGCAATGAAAATTACTTTAACTAGAAATCGTCAATATGGCGGCAGTAGTAACATGCCTTGTCTTAGTTTATCTGCTATTTAATGTTTGTTACTGCAGTTCTCCAGTGAGTGAGCTTCTAGAAATAGTTATGTGTCTTTTGAATGACTGTTCAAGATTTTATCCTCACGCTGATCCCAACATGGCAGAGAACTTGATTGTCCGTCATGAAGTTGCTGAGGATTCTATTAGTTATTCATTGAACAGAGGTACCCAAGCAAATTTTGTCACTTGAATTGCTGGTGAGACAAATTCAATACTTACTAAATAGATGGGAAATGTTTGCAGTAAGAGCAGATTCATACACCTCAATATACCCCGTAAGGCTTTGCCAACTGTATGGACTATCTGGACTATCAGCATCTAATGGAAGAGTGGGTCGTCCAGCCTATGAATCATCAAAACCTATCTAGGAGAGTTTTTAAGAAAAAGAATGAGATTTACTTGGTCCTAGATATCAAGATTAGTTTCCAGAGCCACTCTTTGGCGTAGAGTTAGAAACATTCAGTCACTCTCCGGTTGATGTTATTATAAGATTTAGACGAACTGATGATTCGAGAAGTAAAACTGACTGACGTAGGTTTACCAATTCTGGTATCAGTATCATGCTGGGTCATTTGTGAAAAAGAATTATCTATGTTCAGCGTCAGCGTGTAAGGGAATGTTTTTACGAACTGACCCAGCAGGGTCTGCTGTAAGGTGGTTCAATACCATCACAAGGTGTGTTTACAGTGTCAGGGGACCTAATTCTCTCTGGCACATCTTTGATGGACTACTCTGCCAAAAAAGTTGGAGGTTAGTAATACACAGTGATTTTGTCAGGGATTTTAGACTTTAAGTTGTGCAACAAATAATTCTGCTGCAACTGGGCTAGCTCTCTTTTTAGCTGCTGTGTAAAGTTATGGGTTGCCCTTTAGAGGATGAAAATTTAGAGGTAGGAAGAGCTATGCTATGGAACAGCAGATTTAATAGGGGAAGCAAAATTGCTGGGTTGTCTGCACACAACCAGTGAATTTAGCGTCTCTGGAGAGAAGTCTTCGTTGGAGTCGGTCAGTTCTACTACACTCTGTTCTACCAGATGGAAGAAAATGGCATCCTAGAATCGACCAGCCTAATCGGTATGTTCTGTTTGCATTACATACTTCTTTCCAGAATTAACAACCAGTTAAACCCCTAGTTAAGGCATGGAATAATCATCCTGTATGCACAGAGGGTCACTGGACTCCTCAACAAACATGAGTGAACGCGGTGATTTCACATATGTAATACTGGAAATACTAGCTGTCAGGGACACATTTGATGATAACACCCAACCAGATGAATTATCTGGTGAAGAAGCAATAGAACTTCCACTAAAATCACATTCTGCTTCCCAAAACTTCCCTTGAGGTAATTATATTTCATAGGTTGGACGACCCACTCAGACTTCCATTAGAAGCTGATACAGTTGGCAAAGTCCTAATGGGAATACACTGAGGTACATGAAACTGCTCTTAATGCAAACATTTCCCATCTAAGTAGTAAATATTGCAGTTGTCTCACCAGCAATTCTAGAGGCCGTATCCTCTAAGCATTCGCTTGGGCACCTCTGTCCAATGAATCAACTAAACGATGTACAGAATAATACACGGCAATTTCACAACGATCAACGTGAGGATAAAATCTTGAACAGTCATTCAAAAGACACATAACTGTTTCTAGCAGTTCAGTCACTGGAGAGCTGTAGTAACAATAATTAAATAGTAGATAGACCAAGACAAGCCATTTTACTACTGCCGCCATATTGACGATTTCTAGTTAAAGTAATTTTCATTGCCATCATACACGAACAGCCATTCTCGCAAAAGATACATTTCGTGCTAGTATATACAGCGTAATTTACGAGACCCGCATATACGCCCATTTTAGCACGCGTATATATGGGTCCTTGTAGGACGCGTATAGTTGGGCATTTATTTCGCATATCCCCACGCTTGAGTTTACGCAAATATGTGGCCATTTAAAAATGCGTATATACACGATCTAAATGGTCGTATATATGAGCTTAAAGCCCAACGTAACGTATGTAGAAAAGTATACGAAGCAGAAAAGCCCGCGTATACCCTGTTGTAATTTTGAAACGAATGGCCAACCATAAAAAACAGCTGAAACGTACCGTCAATTTTATCAGACAACATGACATGGTCATCATGTAGCTCATCTCAGGGAGGAGAACAAAGATTGTGAGAGGCCTGAAGGTTTTATTATGACATGGTAACGTTCAGCTGAGTATGTATTATGCCTGCCTGGTCGAATACATAGTAGCACGTAAGTAATTAAACAAAAATTGAAAAAAGTATACAGCGAAAAACCGTTTTAAAGTTTTTAGTGCCATTTTGTCTTGAATCTTTAAGCAGGGTCGTCCTTGTCAATGTTAATAGAGCAAGGTCGGCAATGATTGCAATTTTTGAGTGAATTAGGTCTAAACGTTACCTTTTCACTAAACAGGTGTCCAGACCTCAGCTGAGACTGACACTGTTAAAGTTGTGAAAAAAAGATCAAGTAGTGAAAGCCTTGCTCGTGATCAGGAAGCGGAGGATGACTCTGTCAAGACAAATGAAAAAGTTGAGAAGTTTGAAGGTGTACAGAGTGATGGGATACCTCCCAGTGAAAAAAGGAAATGTTTTCAGAGGCCTGAAGGTGTACAGACTGATGCAGTTCATCCCATTGAGGGGGAGAACGTCATCAAGAAGTCTGAAGAGGAAAAAGATGATGCAGTTTGTCCCCTGGAGAATAGGACAGACGAAGAGAAATCTAGGCGTGCAGCTCATCCCATGAAGGAGAAGAAAGACGAAGAAAAGCCCAAAGGTACTGAGAATGATGCAGCTCATCCCATGAAGGAGACGAAAGACGAA